CATTCTGTTGCACTGCGGAAGCTTCTGTCCCGAAAACAAATTCCTCGAATGTGAAAACATACCTGGCAATAAAGCTCATTCTGATTCTGATTTCCATTTTTAATATAGGGAATTAAACTGTCATTTGTTCATTTATCTGTTTAAACTGTCCATTTAAACTGTGCTTTATAACTCTTTTACACATAATGTATAGAATAGAGATATATTCACCATACAGTCTGTTTTCATAGCATTCAGTTGGCACGTTTGTTTGAAGGACAGCATTGGGCAGGATGTGGAATAGTGTGTTTTGTCAATTAAAAAAAAGAGGCTTTTTATCCGATTAATCGAAGGTAAAACAATAATCGTCCTACTAATCGATTATCAAAATAATCGTTAGTTGCAGCCCTACAGGAAAATAACAGTATTAAAGGGGTCCTATTATGCTTTTTCACTTTTTCAACTTTAGTTAGTCTGTAATGTTGCTGTTTGAGCATAAAAAAGATCTGCAAAGTTACAAAGTTCAAACTCCACTTCAAAAGGAGATATTTTATTTAACAGAAATCACTTTTCAAAAACTACAACGAACGACTCGTTTGGACTACAACGCATATTTTCCGGGATTTGTGATATCACAAATATCGACAAATGAGACGAGACCTGGTTGAGCTGCACTAGAGAAGATAACGAGTGTTATCATCACTATGTCGGAGACGCGCTAGCTTTCCTAAGGCAGACAAACTTAGAGTGGTTACAATCATCCGGGTATAAATCGCGCTCAAATTGATTTGATTTTGACGCAATATTTACATTGAAGCTCGCAGGTGGCTATGGTAAGAGCATGACATTTCCCGACCAGGCGCCGAGTGCTGCCAATCACAACACACACTGGCCCAGTTAACCAATCACAGCACATTTCGTATTTCAGAAGGCGGGCCTTCATGTTTATATCTTGCAATTTTGACTTGATATCTCAGAAGAGCTGAATAGTGAAGATAAAAAAAAAAAGGTCGCAGTTATCTTTTATTTTTTTTTATATCCTGTGGTGGAAACAAGCTTCCACAGGTTTGCAGTGACCTTGATTCTTCACCCAGTGTCTCGCTCTGCCTCAGATCTGGAGATGGCCGTGGCCTATTGGAATCTCATTCTCACCGGACGCTTTAAGTTTCTCGACCTCTGGAACACTTTCCTTCTGGTACTTATTGAATAAATATAATAGCAAACCACAAGCTCTTTAATGTCACTGTAACGCTCACTCACACAAGTTTCCTCTGTGCAGCAGGAACGCTCTCACAACATCACTGATCTGATCTGCATACTTAACTAAACCAGTCCTATTTTTGTTGATACTGTATATATTTGAGGCTGATGAAGCTGTAGCAATGCTGAAAATGCAACGTGTGATTCTGCTCTCTGAAACACGCGTTCATATACGTGTGTGGAGTTTGATCTGACACTTGATGCATGATGAGAATCCTGAAAACTGAAAACTGATGATGGTTTTGCTTCTCATCCATCTTGTTTCTGCAAAGGAGCATCATAAAAAATCCATCCCTAAAGACACTTGGAACCTGCTGCTGGACTTTGGAAACATGATTGCAGATGACATGTCCAACTATGACGAGGAGGGTGAGTGATTCATGAACTTACTTTTATAAAGGACATACTTGAACTGGATATTCGGTGAGGAAAAATGCAGGATGGGCTTGATTTTATAACAGGCATGTGACTGGATGAAGATTATACAGTGGAGATCAAAATTAGAGAACAGTCTATAAATACTTAATTTTTTCTGAAATATTGTTAATCTTCATCGCTCAAATTTTGAAATAATATTGGCTGTGGGTATACCACTGTTATACTAACATGTTTGACAAAATAACCAAGGCATTTAAAAAAAAACTTTATTTTGTGGAAAACACAGTGATCAAAATTAGAGAACAGTAACCACTGTAGTCAAGTCACCTTTATTTATATAGCACTTTTAACAATACAGATTGTGTCAAAGCAGCTTTACAGTATCAAAATAGCAAAATAGTGTGTCAATGCAAAATGACAATAGTAAACACTCAATTTTCAGTTAAAGGCAGTTCATCATTGAAGTCAGTGATGTCATCATCCAGCTCAGTTCAGTTTAAATACTATCTGTGCAATCAAACTGTAGCACAAAAGAAGATTACAACTACAATTTTGTAGGGTTACAACTGTCAGAAATTAGGCCCCTGCTTTGAATGACTTCAGCACATCTGCGGCTGCACTGCGCTGCTGTGATCTTGGTCCACTCTTCTTCCATAGTTTGGTAACTGTAGTGGGGTTTTTAGCCATAACTTTGTTGCCAAGGATTTTCCTGAGATTTTCAGTTGGGTTTAGATCTCTGGGCCGGCTATTTCATTATTTCAGTGTTTTCAGCTTCAAGAAACTGCTTTATCTGTTTTGCAGTGTAACGGGCTTTGTTCTGCATGAAAATTGCAGGCTGATTAGAAGATGCAACAACTGCATGTTGCTGAAGGAGGTTCTGATAAACATTTGCATTCACCCTGCCATGTAGCTGTATAAGAGGCCCAACTCCTGCTACAGAAATCATCCCCCAAACCATGACACTTCCTCCTCCACCTTTCACTGACTTCTTTACGCACTTGGGCTTCAGTCTTCCCTAGGGCTATGAGATTAACCACTTAGGTATCGAAATTTGGTACCGAACGACAAGACGTCTTTCGATACTCGATGGTATCGAGGCAATTCGGTCGGTGCCTAAAAAGTATCGAACTCGATACCCAGCCCTAGTCTTCCCCCAGTTTGATGCCGAACATAATGTTTCCCATCAGACCCAAATAAATGAACGTTGGACCAGTTCTCCTCTCTCCACACAACATGCTCCTCAGCAAAGGTGAGCTTAGCCTTTTGATTCATTCTGCTGATGAGAGGCTTGTTCACTGCAGAGTGTGTTTTCAGTCGGACTTCTCTTAAAATGGGCTGAGACAGATCCTTACCCTATTTAGCACTGAACTGGTGAGCAATTCCAGCTGCAGTGTTGAACCGATTCCCCATTGAGAGTCTCTGCATTATCCTGTTTTCTTGTGCATTTGTCTTACGTTGACGTCCAGCCTTTTTGGGGGACTTGAATGAATTAGTGTCATCGTAAACTTGCAGTATTCAAGAAATCACAGATTTGGAATGACCAGCTTCTCTTGCAATGGCTGAAAGGGTAATCCCTTTGGCCTTCTTCTGGACAACCTCCTGTTGCAGGGTTTCAGTCATCTTAGAACGGCCTGCTATCTTGCAGTCTCAGTGAAAATTGAAAGCTGCCAGTTAAAGAGGGTTTGTCATATAATTAAAGGAGTAGTTCACTTCCAGAATGAAAATTCTCTCATCATTTACTCACCTTCACTTGTTCCAAACCTGTATGAGTTTCTTTCTTCTGTTTAACACAAAAGAAGATATTTTGAAAAATGTGAGTATCCGAATAGTTTATGGTCACCATTGACGTCCATAGAGGGTAATCCCTTTGGCCTTCTTCTGGACAACCTCCTGTTGCAGGGTTTCAGTCATCTTAGAACGGCCTGCTATCTTGCAGTCTCAGTGAAAATTGAAAGCTGCCAGTTAAAGAGGGTTTGTCATATAATTAAAGGAGTAGTTCACTTCCAGAATGAAAATTCTCTCATCATTTACTCACCTTCACTTGTTCCAAACCTGTATGAGTTTCTTTCTTCTGTTTAACACAAAAGAAGATATTTTGAAAAATGTGAGTATCCGAATAGTTTATGGTCACCATTGACGTCCATAGTATTTTTTTCCCCTACTTTTTCCCCCTGTAAACTTAATTTATGAAATATGCTTCTACTCCTGTTAGGATAGCTTCAATTAAGCAGTGACCTTGAAATTTAGGAAATTGTAGGTTGTTCTCTAATTTTGATCTACACTGTTTTTGTTTATAAATAGGGGTGCTCCGATTGATCGGCTACCGATCACTATCGGCCGATAATCACGTTGGGGTGTTTGATCGGCGGTCTCTAAAAAGGCCAATCTCAAAAAAACGATCTCAGGCTGATGACGCTGCTGTGAGAGGTTTGGCACGACATGCAGCGGCTCAGTCTCTGTCCGGCGCAGGTAAAATAAATATAATATTTCCTCATTAAATAACTTATAAAGTAATTTGAAAACCTTGTGTGAGACGTAATTTCACAAACAGCGTGAGTGAATCACCACGCGCGCTCTCTCTTTCTCTCTCAAAATATGCAAATGATTTCAAATCACTACATCGCGTCTGTCTATAAGCGAGCTGTCTGCACGCTGCACAGTTGACACAGGAATTGTCACTTGCACAATCGAGGCAGTGTCACATCGTCACTAAAGTTTATAAATTGCATTACTTTTTAATTCTTGCCAGTGTTTAACCATTCAGCACTCTCGCACTCACATAATGTCAGGTTCACATTACTCCATTTGCAGTGCGCATGTGGTGCGCATTTTTTCCGCGCTCATGTTAACGGATTAATAAAGAGTGCACACTGCACACGGTTGCGGTCCGGCAGTGCGCTCCAGGAGCGGTGTGTCTGTAGCAGAGCAGAGATCGTTTTCGCACCAAGTCTTGCTGCGCTGCAAGCACTGAATTAAAGTAACAGTGCATTGTTTGCAGTAAATATGAACATGGATT